AATCGGCCTCGAATAAATCCTTCTAATACCCTACCCAGTTGAAAACTTATATTGAGGCAGCAGCTTCGAGCGTAGGACCTAGGGGTGATTAATTCGACGTACCCTATGATGCTATAAGCGAGACCATCCACGGCTACTCGGAGTGGCAACAACCACTACTGCTCGAGGTGATCTGCAAAGGGCAACGCCTCCACGCGATGGTGGACGGTGGTGCGTCCCACTCGGTGTGCGACCGTGGGACGTTGGAGAAAATTGGAGCACCTTTGGAGAGACCAAGTTCACGGCAACGATGGTGGACGGTACGAAACTTACCATCCACGACAAAGCATCACTGCAGCTGCAGATAGGGGCGCTGAGGTGGAAGCCGACGTTGCCGATCACGAACATCAAGGGTTTAGATTTCATCTTGGGGCGAGATTTCCTGAAGCGGTTCAACCCCGAGATCGATTGGGTCAACCGGAAGGCGTGCATCTACAACAACGGGAAACGAGTAGAGCTAAGAAGTTGGACGGATACAGGGAACGTTCCTGAAATGACACTGGCACGTTTCAAACGGACGGTGAATGAGAGTAACACGGGTTACTTAGCATTGGTTATGGCAGCAGCAGAGGAGGAGAAGCCGAACGCAGAGCTACCTGCAACAGTGAAGGAGGTGTTGGAGCAGTACCAAGACATCATGCCAGACGACCTACCTACAGGAGTACCTCCAGCGCGCACCCACGAGCACAAGATCGTGGAGGAACCAGGTGCGAAACCCGTCTCACGTGTACCATACCGCCTTAGTCCGACTGAACTGACAGACATGAAGAAGCAGATAGAGTATCTACTAGATAGACAACTGATCCGCCCATCCACCTCTCCCTACGGTGCACCAGTTCTCTTCACTCCTAAACCAGACAGCAGTTCACGGATGTGCATCGACTACCGCGCACTGAACAAACAGACAGTAAAAAACAAATACCCCATACCGCGCATTAACGACCTACTGGACCAACTGTGTGGTGCAACAGTATTTTCGAAGCTAGACCTACGGTCGGGTTATTGGCAGATCAAGATGGCGGACAGCTCGATCCACAAGACGGCGTTTCGTACCAGATACGGCTCCTACAAATACTTGGTGATGCGGTTCGGGATCTGCAACGCACCAGTAACGTTTCAGGTGGAGATGAATCACATCTTACGGCCCTTGCTGGACGAGTGCATGGTGGTGTACCTGGACGACATTCTCATCTACTCTAAGAACATGAAAGAGCACATGGAACATCTGCGGAAGGTGTTTGAGATCCAGCGGAAAAGGAAGTTCTACGTGAAGCTGTCAAAGAGCGACTTCGCCCTGAAGAAAGTGCAGTTTCTTGGGCACATGGTGAGTGCCGAGGGCGTACACGTGGACCCGCGGAAGATTGAAGCCGTCAAGAAATGGAAAGTATCAGAGAACTTGAAGGAGTTGCAGCAGTTCCTAGGCTTCGCCAACTACTACAACAGGTTCGTGCCGCAGTACTCTAAGATAGCAGCGCCACTGACCAACCTAATGAAAAAGGATACGCCCTACAAATTTGATACTCCTCATCAGCAAGCCATGGAGCAGCTACAGACAACACTGATTACAGCGCCAGTACTCATCTTACCAGACCCAGACAAGGACTGCGTGGCGGAAGCAAACACTAGTGACCAAGCAGTTGGAGCAGTACTGATGCAGGATCACGGACTCGGTTTGCAGCCCATCGCCTACCTCAGTAAGAAGTTACACGGAGCAGAACTGAACTACCCCATCCATAACAAGGAAGCCTTAGTGATAGTAATAGCCTTCAAGGCGTGGAGGAGTTACCCAGAGGGAGCAAAGACTACAGTCTATACTGACCACTGTAGTCTCAAATATCTGAAGTCGCAGCCGACGCTCTCACAACGACAAATGCGGTGGGTGGACTTCTTGGAAACTCACTTCCACTACGACATCGTCTACAAGCCTGGGCTACACAGCAAAGCAGACGCGTTAAGCCGGCCCGGTCATGTAGCAGGCATCCAGCTCGAGGGGATGAACCCTCTGTTCAAGGGTCTATTCCAACATGGGTTCTCCGTGGACGCAGAGATTGCTACGGCAGAGAAACAGAAGCAAAAACTTAGCGGTAAGGAAGGGCACAGGAAAGATTTGGGTACCGAACTATGCCCCGCTCCGACAAATCCGACTGGAGGAGTTTCACGACGTACAGTACGCGGGACATTTTGGGAGCATTAAAACGTTAGCAGGGATAGCGAAGTATTACTACTGGCCTGGGATGGCAGCAGACGTGCAGCAGTTCATCACCTCATGCAACATGTGCTAGTGGATGAAGAGAAGCAAGCAAAAAAAAGCAGGGTCACTTCAGCCTCTACCCGTACGGGAGCAGCCATGGCAAGTCGTTAGCCTCGAATTCATCACGGGACTTCCTTCGACCTAAGAGGGCATGACGCTATACTCGTGGTGATCGACAAGCTCTCTAAAATGGGTCACTTCATCCTGACCAACGCCACGGCTACAGCTGAAGCAACTGCTCGCCTCTTCTTTGACCGCATCATCACCATCCATGGCATCCCCGCTACACTCATCTCAGACAGAGACCCCAAATTCACAAGTAAGTTCTGGAAGGAGCTCATGGGATTGTTGGGGACAAAATTTGCAATGTCTTCAGCATACCACCCCCAGACTGATGGCCGGACAGAGCGACTCAATCAGGTGGTTGGACAGTTGCTGCGCACAGCTTGCAAAGACGACGTCAGCCACTGGGATCAATAGTTACCGACCCTAGAGTTCGCTTACAACAACGCATCACATGCGGCCACAGGGAAATATCCTTTCTTCCTGTGCTACGGACGGGAACCACTTACACCACAGCAGCCAACCACACCGGCACACGTCCAAGCCGCACATGACTTCGTCACCACCATGCAGCAGCTATGGGAGAAGACCCAGCGACGTCTTACCACGAAGCAGAACTCCCAGAAGCAGTATGCTGATCGCCAGCGACGTAATCACATGGTAGCAGTCGACACGCGCAACTTGAACCTGTCTCACCTACCGTCCAAGCTCCGGCCTTGCTTCTGTGGTCCCTTTCACGTTGAGGCACAAGTGACACCAGTAACATTCCGCTTGCGCTTACCTACTACGTGGAATCTTCACAATGCTTTCCATTTTCAGCTACTGAAGCCCTACAAAGATCCCAACCAGCAGTTCCAGGGACGGCAACTACCGCCACCACCACCTGTTCTAGTACAGGATGAACCAGAGTACGAAGTGGAGCGCGTTCTGACTCATCGGAGCCGCGACGGCAAGACCCTCAAGTTCCTGATACGATGGAAAGGTTATGACCCCACTGAGGACAGTTGGGTTGCAGAAGCTGATATAGGCAATGCACGCCGTGCTCTCAAGGACTATCTTGTCAAGCAGGGTGTATCTCACGCCACCTAGCTTTGAGGGGGGGACATGTGAGAGTACGCCGGCTTATGCTGGCTTTGCTAGCTTGCCTGAACTTTATTATGCCATTACTAGCTTGGGTTTGATTTATCATGCTTAGTTATGCTTGATTTCCTAGGTTAGGTGCATTCCTATATGATATTCTAGTTATAGCACCGAACCAGGTTGCGTGCACTGAATTCTAGGCTTTTCGGTTGCCACCGAATTGCCTCCTACCGAATTCGGGAAGGTTCTGTTTGGGACGCTTCGCGACCCTCAGAACCTTAGCGTAACACCTGGGTTACTGGCCTTGTGTCGAGACTATATATAGCCTCTTGTTGTACCTAGGTGGATCATTCAATTGAAACTCTCTTTTCTGAGCTCGATCCCAGATCCTCACAAGGTCGTTCAACGCTTTGGCTTCACGTGGTCCTTGCCACAGCCCACTCCTCTGCCTACAGGCCATTTGCTCTCAGCTCCACCTTTGGACGAGCCCGTAGAGCCGAGTGGTCCGTATCCAGAGCTAGTGGGTTGCCTCATGTACCTGATGACATGCACATGACCTGACCTCGCACACCCTCTCAGCCTCCTGGCTCGCTACGTGGCTCTCGGTAGACACCGAAAGGTGCACTGGGAAGCTGCGAAGAGGGTACTGCGTTACTTGTGCAGTACATCGGGCATGGGGCTTGTGTTTGGAGGACGGGACTCAGTGGTACTCACAGGTCACTCAGACGTATCCTGGGTCGATGACCAGGCGACTCAGCGGTCGTCACAGGGGTACACCTTCAGTCTTGGCTCTGGTTCTGTCTCATGGAGGTCCACTCGTTCGTCTTCTGTGCTTGGTTCCAGCTGTGAGGCCGAGATCTACGCTGGGGCTATTGCTGCACAGGAGCTACGCTGGCTGACCTACCTGCTGACCGACATGGGGGAGCGGCCTCGTTCTCCTCCAGTTCTGTACGTTGACAACAAGGCCATGCTTGCCTTGTGTCTGGAGCAGAGACTCGAGCACAGAACAAAGCACATTGCTCTTCGCCACTTCCTTGCTCGAGAGCTGCAGCAGCGTGGTCAGCTCCGCCTTTCCTACGTGGCCTCTCGGACCAACACTGCTGATGTCTTCACCAAGGCCCTTGGGTCTGGTGATCATCAGCGTTTCTGCACTTCTCTTGGGCTTCTGCCCACTCTGCCTCACCTGCTGGTTGCTTGACTTGCCTTGTACTGTGGTCTCTATATATATACCTGCATGCTTGCTCTTGCTAGGTTGTGATCACTGTACTGCTTGTGTTTTTATAACTCTGCATGTGAACTGGCCTTGTGGCTGCTTGCTTGTGCTCGGACTGCGTGGTGATCTTGAGATCCACCCTGGACTTTGCTTTGTTTGCTTCTCCTGACTGGTCTTGTGACCACTGTTTGGTTTGGCTATCCCCTATTTCACCTATGGGGGTGTGTCAAAACATTATATGCTTTCTAGATTGCTAGGCTATGTAGGGGTTATCCATAGAGGGTGCACAATATTTCTCGACACTTTTGTATCCCCCCCCCCCCTTACCTAATCCATGATCCTTCTCACTAGCTTCTAACAAGAAAATGGAGCAGGGAATGGCGGAGGGATGACGGGAGGTCGAAATAAAAATGAGGGGTAACTTGGGGAGGAATGAGAGGTGGGGGGAGCCGAGAGGTGGGGGGAGCCGAGCGAGGGGAGACCGGGGGAGACGATTGGCGATTTGGAAGGAGAGCGGAGAAAGATGAGGGAATGCGGAGGGGAGATTGAGAGGAGAGCGGGGAAAGATGAGGGGAATGTGGAGGGGAGATGAGAGGAGAGCAGCGAAAGATGAGGGGAATGCGGAGGGGAGATGAGAGGAGAGCGGGGAAAGATGAAGGGGAATGCGGAGGGGAGATGAGGGGTCAGGGGTAAGAAGATGAGGAAGATGCGCAGAAAGAGCAGGGAGAGATGAGGAGAAAGCGAGGGGGGAGGAGGGGAAGAGGAGAGAGGGAGGAGATGAGGAATGTTTCCCCCTTCCTTACCGCACCCTGCACCCCATCCCCCCTCTCCATCTTTACCCACCTCCCCCTCTCACCCCCCCTCCCCATCTTTACCCACCTCTCCCCTCTCACCCCCCCTCCCCATCTTTACCCACCTCCCCCCTCTCACCCCACCCCCCCCCTCCTCCCCCCCACCCCCTTCTTCCTTCCACTCCCCTACCCCCCTTCCGCCACTCGCACCCCCCACCCCCACCCCCCTTACATTTTCCCTTTCCATTTTTCGGCAGTCTTGCCTCGTAATGGGCCTGCAACCGCTTAATCACATGCCCAACGCCATCGAATAGTCGGCAGTGCCGACGCTAACGGGTGTGATGCGAACCGAAGCTACTAATGCGCCTGCATCGTAAGTGTCCGCAAATCGGCGGCGTTGATGTTCCTAAGCAGTCCGAAATGTGTCCGCAGAACCTACTTCTTTGGTTTAGGGTACCAACAATTCCGACGTTGTAAATTGGGTCTCCCCCTTTAAGAGCACTCAGGCATGACCAATAATTCATGCGGTGTTGTTGTTAGAAAGGAAAACAGTAATCTGAACTCATAAACTACACAAACACCTGCATCACACTACTAAGTTTTTGTCAACTACGTTACAAACATGGGACACTACTCAACCGTACTTCGCGTGACCCAACAGCGAGTTCAAATCATTCATGCGCCGCCATGTCGTCTTCCAGGGCACTCACTCACACACTCGACTTTGAATTTCAAACTTTTTCGAAATGTAGGAGACAGTGACATGGTGGCATGAGGCGCAGGTGAGAGCACAAACAACAACGGGAAATGGTAAGGAGAGGGACAGAGGTGGGCGGACAGAGGAGAGGAGGTGTGTGAGATGCATCCTCACACTTCTCACTGCTCCACTCTTGCTCTCATACCCCTATCCGTCCCCCACTCCCTCTGCTTGTCGCTCCCACTTGCAGCCAGGAGAGGGACAGAGGTGGGAGGACAGAGGAGAGGTGTGTGAGATGCATCCTCACGCTTCTCACTGCTTCGCTCTTGCTCTCATACCCCAATCCCTCCCCCACTCCCTCTGCTTGTCGCTCCCACTTGCAGCCATGAGAGGGACAGAGGTGGGCGGACATAGGAGAGGAGGTGTGTGAGATGCATCCTCACGCTTCTCACTGCTTCACTCTTGCTCTCATAGCCCTATTCCTCCCCCACTCCCTCTGCTTGTCGCTCCCACTTGCAGCCAGGAGAGGGACAGAGGTGGGCGGACATAGGAGAGGAGGTGTGTGAGACGCATCCTCACGCTTCTCACTGCTCCACTTTTGCTCTCATACCCCTATTCCTCCCCCACTCCCTCTACTCGTCGCTCCCACTTGCAGCCAGGAGAGGAACAGAGGTGGGCGGACATAGGAGAGGAGGTGTGTAAGATGCATCCTCACGCTTCTCACTGCTCCACTCTTGCTCTCATACCCCTATTCCTCCCCCACTCCCTCGGCGTGCGAGGGACTGTGCTACCCATGTTGCCTTATTCTTTGTTACTTCCCTATTTGTGGTTGTGTTTACCTTATACGTCATGCTCATGTTGGACCGGACGTAGTCATTGCTGGGATTATTCTGTACATGGACCTCACACACCTCAGCAACAACGGCAGGAAGAAGGCTCATCCGGTGATGATGAACCTCATCAACATCTCTCAGAGAAAACGCTGGGCGTCTTCTGGCCACGTGCTTTTGGGGAATCTCCCGATACCACCGCATGGCATGAGCTCGGCACAAAGCATAGAGATGTTTCACAAAGTCGTGGAGCTCATGCTGCAGCCCATCCTTGACAGGCTGAAAATGTAATGTGCGCTCACTAACTTTGATTTCCTCTCTGCATTTCCATCGGCATAACTGTCGCTGTCTAACCATGCTCACAATGTCCTCGCTGCCTTGTCATGACCTCGAGTCTCTAAATGCCCTTCTGTTCCACTCACCAAATGTACCGCCCTCGCATGCTCTCATTCTCCTAAGATCATTTGTATCCGTACATTGCAGTGGCTTCATGATGAAGGATCCGAATGGCGTCGAGCACCTTGTGATACCAAGTTGTACACGTAGGTCTGTGAGTATATGGAGAGCTCCAAAATTACTTGCACCCTTCTCGGGTTCGATGTTTTGGCCGTGCAGCATATGCTATGCTCACAGGGTATGTGGCATGGCGATTGGGTGTTTATGATAATGAAATCACTGATCCCAAGACATGGAACTGGTTTTCTTTGTCTTGGATCATTTGTGTACTCATTCGACCTAACTCTCAATCGTGCAGGACCACTTGTGTGCCGTGTCAGCCCCCAACGTTACCCGCACTCCTGTGCAACAGTGATGGATTAAGGAAAACTGGTAGAACATGGTCAAACCGTGGAAAACGGTGAGGATGGAGTGTTCGACATTCGACGTGGATGTGATTCTGATCAACGACGCCTAATGACCCACATCAAACTCACTGCCCTCACATGCTTCATCATACTGGCTGCCCTCCCATGCCATGACACTCCCCCCCAATGCACTCACCTACCACATTGGGTCCTTGATCTGCAACACTACCCTCACTCTAGTCACTCTTTTCCTATAATTGCAGTCTTCCTTGTGGCTGTAAGACGTTTGGGGCAAACCGTGGGGAAATCCTTACCTCGTCATATTGCCCGACATAATGCATCAAGCGGATCTGGGGATTCTTCATCACCTTGTCGCCACCATCCGCTCCACCTACAGCGGGTTTCTTCCCTTGTTTGACGGGTGAGTGTAGGTTGCTGTTTACACACTTATAGCGGCTGGCATAGCTATGGGACTGTTTTCATATTGCTGTTACAGGGAAGTGGGGCAGTGCATCGTAAGTTTGTTGTGTATTCCCTACCCATGTTCACTCGTGTCATGCTCAGGCGCTTGAAAACTCCAAGAGAGGGCATTCGCATGGCTCATCTGCGGCTCCCCAAATCCACGTACTTCGTGTCCGACGCCCAAGTGGTGGCATTCAAGCATCGATCTGTCCTGCAGGCAAGTGTTACCTAAGTGTATTTGGTAGCAACCACCCGTCCTCTCCCCCGCTTGAATTGTTTCTCGCTTCGTGCCAAAGCAGTACTTTGTATTGCTATGAACCTTTGCAGCGGAAGGGAGATGTCCACAAGCGCATGTGGCAGATCCTGGTCCTCCCTTGGTGGAATTCGGGCAAGGCGGAAGCTGCGGCATCCATGGAGGAGAGCGTCACCAAGGAGGAGCGGCAAAGGTGTGCAAGGAGATGAGCTGATTGGAGCAAGTGCGGTGTTGAAGGCGTCGGCTACCTCTGGCCAAGCAAATTGGGAGACTTAGCATCGGCGACTTGCACACATGGCTGTATCTACACTGGAGGTGATGCATAAGGAGAAGTGCGTGCACGACCTGCAACTGCATGGAGATGGCGCTCCCTTTGGCAGCTGCAAGGCGTGCATGCAAAACAAGTTTGCGCGGTTCCCGTTTCTACGTGCGGAGGGATCAGCCAAGGCACCATTGGAGGTGGTGCACATGGACCTGGTGGGTCCTATGAGGACGGAGGGGACTAGGGGAGTGCTGTACTTCCTCCCCATGGTGGATGAATGGAGCAGATTCACATGGACTCGTCCCTTGTCCAAGAAGAGCGACGCTACAGTGGCGATCAAGGAGGATTGGTTGCCGATGGTGGAGCGGTTGCCGATGGTGGAGCGGCAGTCGATGCAGTTGGTGAAGGTGCTGAAGAGTGATCGAGGTGGAGAGTTCCTTGGAGCATATTTCACATAGTTCCTCAAGAGGAACGGCATCCGGCACCAGCCGACCTGCCCTAGAACACCGCAGCAGAACGGCATTGCTGAGTGTGCCAACCGGACCATTGGCGAGGCGGCTAAGACCATGTTGGGGGCTGCTGGCATGCCCTACAAGTTCTGGTCTGATGCTGTCCGCCATGTCATCACGGTCAAGAACATGGTCTTGACACATGTTGGCGACAAGCACTGGGTGCCATACGAGTGCTGGCTTGGGAAGAGGCCAGCCATTGATATGCTGCCGGTGTGGAGTTGCATGGGGCTTGTGATGGTGCCTAACGAGTAGAGGCACAAGCGGGAAGTTGCTGCTGTGTGGGCTGTCCATCTTGGGATGGCTCCTGACTCGAAGGGGTGGCTGATGTGGGACCCCAAGAGCAAGAGGACGCTGGTCAGCCGTGACGTCAAGTTTGTAGAGGACGTCATGTACAAGGACTGGCAGCAGCAGCAACAGGTGCAGATTGGCTTGCGTCTGCAGGAGATTGAGCGGTCTGCAGTGGAGGAGGTTCAACTGCACCTTGAGGATCTCCCTGGGTCAGAGCTGACCAGTGACCACAGTGGCGGTGGTGAGCAGCAAGTTTCTGGTCCTACTGCGGAGGAGGGGTTGTAGGATGAGTCGGCACGTGTGGACTCACCATATCAGCCTGAGCCTTCTGTAACCGCCAAGGTCACCAAGAGGTGTGTGCAGAGAGAAGCTTCACCACATGGGCAGCAGATTGCAACCCGCAAGAAGAGAGTGGCAGCACCACCTTCAAGGCAGAAGTATAGCCGTTTGGGAGGACCCAAGCAAAAGGCCATGGCAGTTCAGGCGGATGAGGGAGATGATGAGGAGATGGCCTTCTGTTTCTTCACACCCTTGCTAGGAGAACCAACCACATTGGAGGAGGCACTGAGTGGACCCTAGAAGGAGGAGCAGAAGGCTACCATGGATGCAGAGTTCAACAGTCTCAATGAGAATGGGACTTGGGAGCTTGTTGAGTTACCCGAGGGGCGACGGCCGATCAGCCGCATGTGGATCTTCAAGGTGAAGAGTGGAGCTGATGGTGCGTTGGTGCGGTTCAAGAGCCGATTGGTCGCTAGGGGGTCTCGGCAAAAGAAGAAGGTCGACTTTGGGGAGATATTCGCTCCTGTTGCTAAACCAGTGACATTGTGGACTTTGCTGGCTGGCGCAGCTGTGAAGGGATGGCATGTGAAGCAGATGGATATCACCACTGCATTCCTCAATGGAGTGTTGCTGGAGGATATCTACATGGCGCGGCCCGACGTCTATGAGGATAGGACCAGCCGGGTATGCAAGCTCAAGAAGGCCATCTATGGCCTTAAGAAAGCGCCCAAGTTCTGGTACAAGAAGCTGGAGGAGATGCTGTTGGGTGGAGGCTTCAAGACGTCCCAAGCAGATCACAGCTTGTTTCTGCTTGGAGAAGGTGAGCAGTTGCTCTTGCTGCTGGTGTATGTCGACGACATA